AAATGACCCGAAAATCATACCCATCTTTTCTCCAAAAGTTAGTTCTAACAGGGCAGGATGAAATTATTGTCTAGCAGGCCTTCCTAAATAAGAACATAAGAACGGCTATACTGAGTCAGACCAAAGGTCCATCTAGCCCAGTATCCTGTCTTCCAACAGTGGCCAATGCAGGTGCCCCAGAGGGAATGAACACAACAGGTAATCATCAAGCGATCCATCCTCTGTTGCCCATTTCCAGCTTCTGGCAAAGAGAGGCTAGGGACACTGTCCCTGCCCATCCTGGCTAATAGCTATTGATGCACATATCCTCCATGAATTCAGAATTCTGTTTTTTTGTTTTGTTTTGTTTTTTGAAGGGGGTATTTAATTTTTATGGGTTTATTTTAGCAATTTTTGAGTTTTACATAGATTTCCAAAAATCAGGGGTTTTCAGGGCTTTCTCTCTGTATATGCTGTAATGAGTATTGTATATTATAGACATTACTCATGCAGTAGTATACACTATAATGAGTAATCTCTTTGTAACATTGCCTAGTGTGCTTTAACATAGTACTGTTTCAAACAGCGATATATTAAAGTGCACCAGGGAACCTTTCGTGTGTGCCAGTGTGTCTACATGAGCCAATTCATGCACAACATGTTAGTATGCTTCAGAAATCATACCCCCATTGTTTGCATTACTGCTCCATGTACATAAATCCATAGATACAAGTAACCATTTCTAGTATTTTTCTAGTGAATACCTGGATAAACACCTATTTCATTTTTTTAAAATCAGGGGTGTTTTATCAGTGTTTATCAGTTAAAATCCAAAATCAGGAGCCCTAAATATACATCTCCCAACACTTGTTTGGCTGAGATGCCACCTAAAGAGGGTTTGCTACTGGGTCTTTTTTAAATTGGACAGTGTAGTAACACTTGCAGTGTGTAACCATCCCTTTTCTGATACTTCAACTTGTTGCTTTTCCATCCATTTTTTATTCTGTATGACGTTTGAATTTGTAATTAATCAAGATTTCAGTATACTTTTCCTTTAACACTTTGAGGCAATGTTAACTGCTCTGGTTCTGTTTGTTCTCATGTGATTTGGCAAGCCTGGAGAAAGAAAGTTTCTAATTTTCAAATAGAAGAGTGAAGAAAAGTCAGCAAGTTTTACATTTTGTTTTTAACATAGATTGTTTCCATGGAACAAAGGCTAGAGCCAGAAAATGTCATTTTTCTATATTTGGGCTAGTTATCAATCATAACATCTTTATGGGTCAAGATTTCAGCACTGGACACTCTATTCTGGTCTTGCTGTTTTATCGCTGAGGCACATGGCAGTTCTGTGCTAGAATATCCCAGAGATTTCCGAGGAGAGATTGTGCACCTGTATGTAACTGGAAGGAATCAGTACAATTAAATATCAGACAAACCATGTTTGATGTCCTCACACTACGTGGGTAAAAAAGTCAACATGATATTTCTAAAACATCATCCCATTGCGATGTTGCTTCGGAACTCACCTATCCCCTTCCGGACATTGTCAAGATGATGTCCTGCTACAATATTGCATGAAACACAGCTATAATACAGGCATGCTGGCAAGAGACGGGTCTCTATTTCATGGCTTTGGCAACAAGACGTGGTCTATGGGTCAGCGTCCAGTGACTCCAGTAGATATCATTCTATCAGCTTGCTTTGACAGTACATTAGTGATGCTTATGTGGGTGAGGAGCAAATCGGGGCAGGGACCATGTTTTCTCAAATTTTGTGTATGTGGTACAGTGCCAACCCAACAGTGCAGTATGGACGATGGACAGGGATACCCACCATAGCCAGGGTGTATGGCTGCTGCCCTCCCCCACCCCACCCCCATCTTTGTAGTGTGACCAGGGGCACCAGACTTTGAAGGGAGGGCCCCTCCTCTAGGCATGTTAAGAGATGAGGAGTT